AGTACTGTACATGTAGATTAATTTTTCGGCCACAAAAAATGTATTTGTGATTGCTAGATTGGTCGATACAATCATGAAAACTGCAGAACGGTTCTCCGCCATAAATTTGTAGGTGGGTGTCGAATCCTCGGTCTATGCGACTTCTCAGGACTGTGGGGGCCGAATGATCAGCGGGAGAAGGCCAACCTACAGGACTGTACTCAGGGCTACCATAAATCCTGTTGCAAGCGCCCGTGACTACATATTACCCCTCAAACAAAATTTGTCATACATTTTTTTACTAGATTTGAAGTACATTTATAAAAAGATCTAAATTTACTACATTTATTAATGACAGAGAGGGTATAGCAAATAGATGTGAATAAAATATCAGCAGAAAACTACACCCCCCCTAAGTTTCCAAATGGGTAGCCCCTTTACAAAACGGCAAGCGATGTTGTGCAACATTTCTTCCTGACGCTGTTGGTTCAAAACACAGTAACGATTAACCACGAATTTCTATAAAGTTGCCTAAAATCAGCAGTGACGCATTTTATCCACAAAAACTCACATTCGTATCCAGCGCCAACAATGTTTTCTTCATTACTTGGTTTGTTCGGGTCATCCGCATCGGCGAAATCTCCACTGGCGGCTGCCATTTTCCTTTGAAAAGGTCGAGTCAAAGGTCAGAGTTAGCCAATCGCTTTGTAGGATTCAGATGAACTAAAATGGCGGCTGAACCAAACAACTCTAACATGGATGTCAACAAAGTTGTTCGCGCTCAGGTTGGTTTATTCACGTAAACACGTCCAACGTGAATATGAACTTTATTTGTTTAATGTTGCGCTTAAATGTACGAAGTTTGCAGTTGAATTTGATTAATAATATTCAGCAGAGAGAAAAAAAATTATTATTGTAACGTGCCATGACTTGTTCTAAAGTTGTTGTTTTACTTTAGATTTTTTTCCCGAATGTTCTGTTCCGGTATTTCCTAAATTTAAAGCAAGGGCATCAAATAGTAAAGGATGTATAGTACCTAAATCAAACATCGCCACAAAGTACTGTCGTCTTGATAGTAGACTAATATGATTACACCATTTCGGAATTCAAAGACTTGATAACATGGTGTAAAATTGAATAATATGTAGTAGTGTAATTGATGATGTCATAAAGTATTAACAACTTCTCGTCTCTTTTTTGTTGTTAATAATTTGTTTTCTTGTTGACATGGAAAGGGGTCAAAAATTTGAATTCATGAGAGGTGGCTGGAAGAGTGTGCAATTAGTTTTTTTTTTTCTTAATTTGTTTTCTATGTCTTGTCTATATATACATGTATATACATTTTTCTTTTTCTTCAATTTTGCCAAAAATTTTACTGCAACACCTTGAATACAATTTTTTTTCTCTTGGTGTCTAGCTTGCAATATTTTTAACAAATTTTCCAGTCACCCCTATGATTTCATATGTTCAACCCCTAATCATAGTGTTTCTCAGTAGAATATAAATTTAAAGGCTCTTGAATAATCCCACTGATTTCACCATAAGATATTATCACTACAACAGTTTTTTCATAAAAGCTGTTTGCAATATTTACAGTTCATATACATAGAAGATTTAAAAATTTGAAACTGCAATTGACCAATCAGAATGATCGACAGTTCAAAAATAGACATAAGTGTACAGTACCAGAATATGTTTGGATTTGCAGGGAACCTTTGCAAAACATCATGGAACGCTGTGCAAATTTATTATATTCAATCTATTTATCAATAAATGTTTTTTTTTGTTTATTTATTCAATAACACTTATACATCCCAACTGAACGAATAGTAGAATAGGTTACAACTGTAAAAAAATGAAAAATGATTTTGTTATAAACTTTATAAAATATTGATGCTGCATTACTATGGTCACTGTACAATTATCCTAACCTGAAAAGTTATCCATGTGAAAATATTGTTGTCTATTAAAGCTTTGTCATTCTTTGAACATCAAAAATAACTTTTTTTAGTGTTTTTTTTTTGGAAAACTGCTAAAAAAATGTAAAAACTATTTCTTTTCACAAAAATGTAGATAATATGATAACGCTATAATATGACCCCCCTAGCAGTCTGGGAGTACTGAAATTATGAATACTCATGAGGGTGATTTTTGTTTTTATTCTTTGGATTGTCCTAATGAGCAACTATTAATCTTATTTATTTGTCCTCTGACAAAAGTGGTTTCCAGAAACAACCAGACAACTGCCAATTTTGATCCCTTCATAATGAGGTTTAGTCATGTAGATGATTTGTTGAGTTATATTTGATTGAACCTTGCTTGTTCTGACATATTTGATTATGTTGGTCTAACATGTTCATTTGCATTTATGAACTTTCAAGTCCTTGCAGTTATTGTTTATTCATTTTATAGGCAATATGGAGAGGAGCACTGGTAAGAAAATACTTCAGACAAATAAGACATTCTTATGAGGAAATTGTACAAGAAATTGACAATGATCAAAAGGAAGTGGGTGTTGAGTGGACGTCTTCGTTAGTGTGTAAACCGAAGGTATATTTTGGAAAGAAGCCGCAGAAACGTGACAATGTGGGGAGAGTTTGTGGTATTTCTTCTACTCTGGGTCAGGTAGTGTCTGTGATACCAATGGCAGAACAACCTTTCAATGTTGTTTTTGATGAAACTTTAGATTGTAATGAAGACAGCGGAAATGAGGAACAAATGAATAATGTAGAAAATGATGTGTATCAAGATTGTGGGCTTCAAACTCCCAGCCCCGGAGGCTTAAATGGCAGGAGGATTCTGGGGGAAATTAAGGATTCTCCAGGAATTGACGAAAAATCTGGTAGTGAGAGCAATTTACTTGGCGCATTTAGGAATTCTCAAGTGGATAAAGAAAATCAGAGTCCAGTTCCACAAATTCAAGCAAGAATTCACAGTGACATTGGTTTTGAGATACATTTGATGCTGAGAATCAAGATGAACTTGAGGATGGGAGAGATGAACAGACAGGTGATGTAGAAGAAAAGGTTCTCTTGAGTGAGGAAGAAAAACCTGAGGAACATGTGATGAATTCTGATAAGGGTAGCATTAGTGATGCTGCATGTAGTGATGAAAATGTCAGTCAATTACAAATAGAAATACCAGCTGGGAGTGAGGACGATAAAAACTTGTCTAATGGTGATCTGCAAAGTGAATCAGAGACACCAAAGAAGAAAACAGACAATGTAATGGAAGTGACGAAGGATGGTGATGTGACGTCCCTCTGGGGTACTGAGAAGTCATTCGTCATGACAGGTACGTGTTCAAAGTGAATTATTAGTTTCACATGCAGTCATTGTGCAGTGCGTTATTATGTCATTACAGATAATGTATTTTACATATGTTACATGGAACCCATATCAAACACAATACAGTGTGATTACTGTGGAATTGAAAGGAAAGTGTCTTGAGGCATACATGTGTGAGATGTGTAATGATAAACAATGATTACTACAAATACTCTCTTCCATAGCAAACATGAATGCGAGTTTTAATCTGGCCATGATGTGCATTAAATTAAATACTGGTACTAACCTTGATTTTGACTAGAAAAAAACTAGTTAAACTTTGGTAATGTCTCTTTAACCATTTGTAACTGAGTACCAACAGACAGTAATTACAGTTTTATTATTTGTCCACCCTCTAAACCTCATAACAAATGTAATAATTGTGCTAACATAGTTAGCTTAAACTAAAAGTCAGACTAAATCTTCTTGGTGACAACCAAACTCAACCAGATTTGAACTTGGCCAGCAGCAAAGCTCGGCCAGTGGTTAGGTGTTAACGTGTCAGTGAGTGGGTGGGTTGGGTGTTAATGTGTTGGCAAGTGTTATTGATTTCAGTGACAAAGCTGCGCTGCAACATTTTCTAACAAATCATTTCATGTATAGTCAACGTTTTAGTACAGACAGCAGTAATTTTTTAAATGTTGTATTCATTATTTAAATACCTTCACACTATCTTGTAATAG